TTTTTTTTTTTCTGTCTTTTTGAGACAAGGTCTCACTATGCAGTTCAGGATGCCCTTGAGCTCATTTTGTAGCACAGGCTGGCCTCAAACTCACAACGATCCTCCTGCCTCAGCCTCCAGAGTGCTGGGATTACAGGTGTGCGCCACCACGCCTGGCAAAACTTCTGAATATGTATTTCTTTGGGCTCTGCATCTTCCTAAACCTAGGCACTGACCAGGTCAGGCAGGTGAGAACTGAAGGCCTTGGCCTGGAAGACTGCTTTGAAACCACAGCGCAGTCACTGCCTAGAGGTGACACATGTTTGGTGTTCTTGGTTAAAGTAAGGAAGCAGTCAACGCTAAAAGCGGCCACTAGATGGTGCTACCTGAAGTGGAATGCAGCTGCCTACCAGGGCCTCTAGGACAAAGAAAGGTAAGGATGTGGGGCTTCAGGAGCATGTCACATCCAACAGTCCTAGGCCTGTCAGCCCTGAGGGAAACAGCTTCCAACACACGCCCAACCAGACAAGTCAAACAAGCAGTATGGATTCCCCAACGGCTTTATTCACTCCCTTCTTCTGGGGAGCAGCAGGCCGGACCTCACAGCTAGAGGTGAAAGGCACGCCAGGAGGCTGTGGTTTCTTCAGTACGCGTCATTAAACGGATACAGAGGGTGTCCTGCATCTCTCGGGACCCTCTTTCCATCCACCTGAAAGACAGACAGACGACTACATTAGCAGGAGCTGACTTTCCAAGGACTTGGGGCATTTTCCCTAGTTTCCTGAACAGCCTCACCTATGTATAGTTCTATACCAGAGGGCAGAACCCCAGCTTCAGAGAAGGCCATGGTGTCAACAGCACCCAGCAGTAAACCCAAGCCTGGTACACAAATGCCTGAACCTAAAGGCGCAGTCTCAACTGGAATTAAATGCCCAGGATCTATTTATTTCCCTATATGCAGCAAACTCTACCTCAGCACCTCTAAAAAGGTCAAGAATGCCTTCTGTTGCTGGGGGTGGTGGCAGATGTCTATAATCTCAGCTATTTGGGAGGCTGAAGCAGGTGGGTCAGAAGTTTGAGGGCAACGTGGGCAACTTAGTGAGATGGTGCCTCAAAATAAAATGTGTGAGGGCTGGGCGTGGTGGTGCACACCTGTATTTCCAACACTGGGGAGGCTAAGGGAGGAGGACCGCCCGGAGTTTAAGACCAGCCTGGGCTACATAGTGAGTTCAAGACCAGCCTGAACCACAGCAAAATCCTGTTTCAAAAAACAAAAAACAAAAACCAAAAGAATAAAGTCCCAGCACTCTGGAAGGCTAAGCCATGAGGGTCAAAAGCTAAAGTCCTGTCTGAACAATTTACTGAGAAGCTTTTGCAGAATATATAAATAAATAAACAAACAAAAAGTAAATGGGCTGGGGATGTAGCTCAGTGTGAAGACCCTGAGTTCCGAGTACTGGGGAGGGCCATCTATATAAGCTGTCAAGAAGTAGGACTAGGGCGCCAGGTGTGGTGGTACATGCCTGTAGTCCCAGCACTCATGAGGCTGAGGCAGGAGAAGACTGCTGTGAGTCTGAGGCCAGCCTGGGCTACAAAGTGAGTTCAAAGCCAGCCTGAACTGCAAAGTGAGACCCTGTCTCAAAAAGACCAAAAAAAAAAAACAAAAACTGGGACTAAGGCTATATGCCTTATCACTGAGCCACACTAATTCCTCGACCTCAAGAAAGAGATCATTTGGGCTGGGAATATAGCTCAGCAACACAGTCCTGCCTGGCGAGCATGAGGTCCTGAGTTCAATTCCTGGTGCCCACAAAAAGAAAACAAGAGATCCTTGCATCTAGGACAACACTGTCACCAACAACATCCTGTTCTTCCTCCAACCATCAAGCCTAAGGTCAGACCAAAAGCAGAATCCCACTCTAAATCCTCCATTCCAAGTCCGGGAAGTGACACATCCTTACCGTAATCATGGGTACAATGTAGCGCCAGTTTTTGTTCAGGGCATCTAGCTGCTTCATCTCTTCTGGGCTGAAGGAGAAGTCAAACACCTGGGGGATGGGAAAGCCAGCCTTGTGAGTGGAAGCTGGAGTTTCACATTACTGCCACCTTGGCCAGAGCTGGGGTCAGAATGTGTCCCGGTGAGCGAAAGATAGAATGTGTGACTAAGTACCTGGATGTTCTGAAGGATACGAGATGGGGTGACACTTTTGGGGATGCAGATTACTTTCCGCTGAACTTGCCACCTATGGTGGAGGAGTGAAGGTAGATGAGAAAAAAGAATTAGTCAGTATTCAGGAATACTGTCTGGTCCTACACAGCCTCCCTAAGCTCACGGAGCACACTGGAATGGGGAGTGAGCCTCAGAGCTCTCCCCAGCAGGTCACAAAGCCAGATCCTTACCCAGGGCCAGAGAATCCCTCAACCCTGGTTTCCCAGCGTGGGCCCTCCCCAGCCTGAGCCCTTTTCCCCAAGAACGCCCCTCACCTGAGCAAGATCTGAGCTGGAGAGCGGCCATACTTTTCAGCCAGTGCCAAGACCAATGGTTCCTCAAGCAGGACAGGCTCATCAGGGTGGCGCCAGGCACGATCAGAGGAGCCCAGAGGGCTATAGGCAGTCACCTCCAGGCCACGTGCCTGGCAGTGGGCAATCAGCTCCTTCTGAGCTAGGTACGGATGGCTCTCCACCTGCCAAGAAACAAGCTATTACCGCGTTGTGGCTACAACTAGCTTCCTTGGCACCTCCCAGGACCAGCACTTCATTGACTGATGCTCCCCCCAATATTTCTTACTATTTTTCCCTGGTGACCTCATTTTTCTCCCAGGGCTTCAACAGGTGTACACACCAACACTTCTAGCAACTAGCCAGCCCCGTCTCTGTTTTTGGTCTTTTTGAGACAGGGTCTCGCTCTGCAGTTCAGGCTGGCCTCAAACTCCAACCATCCTCCCGCCTCAGCCTCCCGAGTGCTGAGATTACAGGCGTGCGCCACCACGCCTGGCTAAGCCCCCTCTGTGAAGGTACTCCATCACCTGCTCACTCATGCTGTGGAAACAACCCCCAAACCACTGATCTGCTTACAGCACTCACCTGCAAGACAGCTGGGCGCACGGAGGCCACACTGAGCACATCATCGATCTGCCGACTGCTGAAATTGGACAGGCCCAGCGCTCGGACCAGCCCCTTTGCCACCAGGGCCTCTAGAGCCTTCCAGGTCTCCTTGTAGTGGGTGGAATCGTAGCGCACAGTCCCGTCCGCATTCTTGGGGAAGGGGTTGTCTCCTCGCCTGAGTGAGACAGGACCCCCCAAGTGTGGGCATAAATGCAGGGCCTATATTCCAGATCACAAGCCCACAGAAGGCAATATGCAAAGAATTAGGAACGGCCAGGCATTTTCTGTCTTCTAGATTGTTTCCCAAGTTTTCAATCTACATAGAATATCCATTCCCTTGCCTCTCTTCCCTAGGCCCAGATTATATCTCCTCTGCTCTGGGAGTCTTTCTGAACTCGGGCCTCCTCAGGGAGCTCTGCCATTCTAGCACAGGGCCCACTGCTGACGGGAGACTCCTCCCGCCCTCTGCTGGGACTTCTCCGGGCCTCGCTCAGTGGAAGGGTCAGTGCAATGCCTGAATGAATAACGGAGCAGGAGGGACCACTTGTGTACCTCTAGGGTACATACCATGTGTTGTTGTTCCGTAGCCAAACTGCTGGCTGCTATAGCAGCAAAGGCTAGGATCCCATGTCTAGGGCCTCTGCTTGCTGTGCAATGTGAGTATTCCCATACTGTTCTGTTGCTGCGACTTACAATAAATTAGTAACTCTACTGCACCCAACTCCCAATTTCCCGATTAAAATCTTGGCGAGGCTCACTCAAAGGCATAGGGCCAGTGCATCAGATACAGATCCAGATACTCCAGCTGGAGGTCAGCCAGGGTCTTCCTGAGGGCAGGCTCCACATCCTCAGGGTGGTGCTTCGTGTTCCACAGCTTGGATGTCACAAACACTTCCTCCCGAGGCACTGCCTAGCACAGGGGCAAAGCCCATAGTGAGAAGAGCCAGGGTACCCAGCCTCATCACCCTTCCTTCTGTGACGGGAATTAGGAGGAAGCTGATGGCGGGTTCCTCAGCCAGGCCCAGCCCCAGCCCCAGCCTCTAAGTTTTCTCACCCTGTGCTCTCCACAGACCTAGTCCTCACCTTGCCTGGTCCCACGTTTGCCTTCAGGGCTTCCCCAATCTCAGGCTCATTGCCGTAGACAGCAGCACAGTCAATGTGGCGGTAGCCCACACTAAGGGCATACGTGATAGCCGCTTTTACCTGCCAGGGGAGAGGACACATTTCAGCTCTGCCCCACCAAGGCCCATGGGTAAGAAAGCAGGAACAAATCAGGAGCATGCATGCAGCAGGGGAGAGATGATTCTAATCTAGGAGTCCAGAGGCCTCTTCAGAGGCCCAAGCCCTATGCCCTTCCCTAAACCCACCAGCCACCAAGTTTCCTTCCTACTCAAGCCTTCTCAGCAAGGCTCAGCCAAAAACTAGCAAGTTCCAGGCAACCAGCAAAAAGAAGCTTTTAGTAAATGTCTTCTGCATCAGAGGATGGATCAATAAATGGGCAGAGGCTGAAAGAACAGATCAGCCCGGAGTGAGGGCACACACCCGTAGTCCCAGTACTCGGGAGTCTGAGGCTGAGGCAGGAGGATCACTGCAAGTTCAAGGCCACTCTGGGCTACAAAGTGAGCTCAACACCAACCTGAACTGCACAGTGAGACCCCGTCTCAAAAAGACAAAAAAAGAAAGAACAGATCATAGAGATAGGTTCCTATGCTGGGCAAGGTGGCACACATGCCTATAATCCCAGCACTTGGGAGGCTGAGGCATGAGGATCATTGTGAGTTCGAGACCAGCCTGGGCTACAAAGTGAGCTCAAGGCCAGCCTGAACTGTATAGGGAGACCCTGTCTCAAAAACACCAAAAAAAAAAAAAAAAAAAAAGAGATAGGTTCCTAGTCCCGAGAAGCTGATTAAGGAAACATGATAGGGGCTGGGGATTTAGCTCAGCGGCAAAAGCGCCTGCCTGGCAAGCGCAAGGTCGTGAGTTCGGTTCCCGGTACCAGAGAAAAACCAAAAAAAAAAAAAAAAAAAAGAGATAGGTTCCTAGTCCCGAGAAGCTGATTAAGGAAACATGATAGCAGAAAAAAAAGAAGTCCTAGGTCAAGGCCACACAGGGAGACACCACAGGAAGCCATGCAGACAGGGCAAACTCTGTGAGCTCAGGCATGCCAGAGATGAGGGGCTGGCTGGGGGATAAGGAAGGCAGCGAAGTGAGACGGAAGCCGGGCCCAGAATCCTGTGATGGGAGAGCAAAAAAGCAAGCACCAACTGTGAGTCCATTTGCTGAAAACCAGACTAGAAACATGGCATCAGATGCAGCAAAAAGGTGCCAGCCCACAGCCACAAAGCACTCAAAGCTCTTCCTGTGGAACCTGCCATGGCACTCAAGCTCTCCACGGGGTGCAGCTCTCCCCACCCAGATGTGCCTCCTTTATTTCCAGCCCCGCCACTCCCACCTTAGCCTAGCTGCTGTCCCTAGGCTGTGTCAAGAGTCTGCCGGAGCACAGGAACCCCAGCTCCAGGGACCTCGCAGTCATGGAAAGGAAAGCAAAAGTGAAGAGACAGAGAACATTCAGCTGCACCAAAAACACCAGGCTGTAGCCCACACAGAAGAAGTTGTTCCCCCAGGCTTAAGCCCCACACTAGTCCTAACTCTGACTCAGTTTTTCAAGGAACAGAAAAGGAGGCCTGAGGGGATCACGCCACCCAGATGGCAGCTGAATCTCACAGCTATCAGCCCTAAGAAAGCAGGTCTCCGTCCAGGTTCCTCTTGGTTAACCAGGGTCTATAAATGATCAACTTTTTTTTTTTTAAGCACTGAGGCTAAGAGTGGCCTGCACAAACACACATACTCTTTTTTTCTTTCTTTGAGATGGCGATTTGCTCTTGCCATCTACCCCTGAACTCACGATCCTCCTGCCTCAAGCCCCAGGTAGCTGAGAGTACAGGCATAAGCCACCACAAGCTAGGACTTCTACATCTTTTAAAAGGTTACCTATTAAATGGTTATATAAGAATATAATCACCTTTGTCTAGAATCTTGTCCAGCAAAATTTAAAATATTAATCATCTGGCTCATTAAGAAAAAGTGCTGAGCCTTGGTCTGCACAGCCCACCTAGTAATTCTTCAAACCCTGACAGCTGCTGTGGGCCTAGCTCTGGATTGCACACTGGAGGGGGCCTAATCCCAAGGCGCCCAGCGGCGGGGGGAGACAAGATCACAGCAAGAGCTGCAAGCGCCACCTCAGGACTTGGCTCAGAGGCCCCACGGCTGCCACAGCCCTCAGTGCAGGTGCCGTTAGAGAAAATGTCCTTCCTACGGCCCTGGCCCTGCCGGACCCTTTAGTCCCTGCTGAGTCAGCCAAGACCGAGGAAGCCAAGAGCTCACCGTTGTCCCTTCTTCGCTCATCTCTTTCCCAGACCCTCCAGGCTCACCCTCGTCAGAAGCAGAGCACAGGGACGGGGCTACCAGAGACAGTGCAGGCTCCCTCTCCAAATCCCACCTTGTCCAAGCAGAGCCTCTAGAAGTCTCCCTCCCTGTCCCTCACTCCTCACCTGGCCAGGCTCACTCTTCCAGGTACCCAGACCAATCAGGGGCATCTTCTGCCCGGTGTGCAGGAGGACACACGAAGCTGCCATCACCCCTAAAACACAGATGGGAAGAGAATGATGAGAGACTTAGTGCTAATCCTTAGACCTTCAATTATCCATTGATCAA